GCAGGTCCCACCTGTTGCGTGGAGCTTCGGTATGGTCATGTGGCGCTTGCTTTTCTGTCCGTGAATCCCTGTGGCTCTCTTACAGGTTTAAAGACACACTTAAAAGATGTAGTAGTTTGTGTGGTTTGCCCAGGTTTACCAGAAGCACATAAGGTAAATTACTGATTGTGTTCAAAAAGGTTCCAAATCCAGACAGGATGCAGAAGTGACCTAAATCTAACACATATTGTTAGAGGAAGCATGGATGGAGCTTTGAATGCTGATGTTGGTGATGTCTATTGGAAAACCTTGTAATGCTTTACTAGCTCTGGAAAATTAACTCATACAATGTGGGTAATGCAGTCGCACCACGTAGTCCCAGTGTGTAGGAGACTTCCAGGATTTTTGCCTTTGCAGGATGCAAACACACAGTACTGGAAGTGAAGCACCGTGTTGTCCCGGCACCGAAGGCCGTGGTGCCATTTCCCACAGCCGGGAGGAGTCCGTATGGCCCAGGATATTGTGCCCAGCACCTTCTTGGTACCTGGGGTTAGCAATATCTGCACACAGCTGGATGGGAGCGACCTTCTCCTTTACGCAGTCATTCGCGATCATCTCGGATCTCAATTGTTCTTGCTGAGTTTAAAAGGGCGTTCGGAAGCGTGTCAGAATTTCAGCTGCTCTGTGGAATGGGGCATGGCAGCGGGTGAAGCTTGAAAACCCTCTAGGTAGAGGTTGGTCTTGGGTGCTAGAAATAAGCTGATAGGGAAGGTGGAGCTGCTGTGGAATTGTGGGCTTCAGTGCATAAAACCCAGTCAGTGTTCATACAAATGAAAAATAAAGCCTTTTCAGGTCATAAAAGTGACCTGATTGGGCTTGCAGGTATTTCTTGTGCTATGCAACTCCTCAGTAAAAAGCAGACAGTCTTAGGAAAATACGTAGTTTAATCAAGTGTCAGATAGCCATGTCTCGTGCAGCATTGGCTGCACATCATCCCTAGAGTTTACGAGGCCACTCGCAGCACTGAAACGGGGCCGGCGGTGCAGGATGCGCCTCGGCCCCACAGGTGCTTCGTCCGGAGTGCTGGTCAGAGTAATGTTTCCAGGTAGGGGCTCTTCATCTCGGGCAAGCCCCTTGCTGCCCAGTCCATCGCTGAGGTTTGTAGAAGCTGCTGGTAAAATGATATTAAATTACTTGAAAATGGAACACGCCGAGGTGGTGCTTTTCCAGATGCCCCAACATCTGGGCACAACAGTGCCCGTGTCCCTGGCAGAGCCACTCGTGTCGCTCTGGAAGCCCACGTGCGCAGCGGGGCAGCTCGGCGTGCGCTTGCAGCGCTTGGGAGCTCTCTGTGCCTTGTGCTCTTGAAGAAGCCCTGACCAAGGCTCTTTTGTAGAGCCCATGGCTTATTAGCCAAGCCAAGTATGCAAGCGTAGCTAAATGTTATCTTAAAAGGCAAATTCCCAAAATAATCAAGTTGCAGGATATCGTTGGGATAGGGAATATTGCTATTACAGCAATGCTTAATCTTGTGGTTTATTAGTGAAGGAAACACATTCTCAAGCTCAAGTTGTTCAAACAGGATTTCCTCATTTGGTAAATATATAGGCTGATATCTTAGCAGTCAACATTTGGGAATAAAACAGAAAGTGCCTTCAACTCTATTGAATTAATCTATTTTTAGTACTCATTGCTGTGCTCATGGAGAGCAATGACTCTTTTTGGGAAAGAAACATTGCTGCCCTATTCAACATATAGGGCTGGCAGCTCTGGTTTCTGTCAGTTGGTTTTTATGAGCATAAAATGCTCCCTTGTGGGGTCTAGGGCTGCACCAGTGGTGACCGGTGCTGTGTACTGCTCTGGTTTGGATTTGCCGGGGTGGATGGATACTTCCAAAGATGTCAATGGAGAGCGAAAGTGCTGGAGTTTATTTCCAGGAAATAGTGGGGGAAAAAAAAACCCTCATTTAAAGCGTGGGCCCTGCACTGTAAATTTCCTTTAGGGATGAAACTCATGTGGACGGAAGAAGCAATTAATGCAGCCAAACAACCCAAGTCCCTCCTGTGCTGCATAGTCTCTGGAGTTGAGTTGTTGCCCAAGGTTTGTCTGCTGATAGCTTTTGTCATTAAAAAAGGCTTCACAAACTCAAACGTGGAAGTCAAGAATTCAGTTTAGTGCAGTGGAAGATTGTGATCCCGTTGAGATACACTGATCTTAGTTTTGAAGGCTTATTTTTGAAGTCTTTGGTGCAGTGCTTTCTTAAGTACATAACAGTCCAGTGCATGAGATGTTTGTGTTAATTTTATGTGGGAACTGAGCAAACACTGAGGGTAGATGCCCAAGTGCAGTTCCACGTGCACCGCCTTTGCAGACGGCTGAGTTAGGGTGGCTTAGCCGGACCAGGTGACACTGCGTTTCTGTCATCTCAGCCGGCTTCGGTGCTCAAAATCTCCTCCCGTGGTGTCGGATCCTGGAGCAGCATTGAGAGCAGGCGCCGGGAGCGGGTTTCAGGCTGCAGCTCCCTGTTAGCTGAGCCGAGGAGGGGAAAATGTAGCGTACTCGGGGAAGCTGCTCCACTTGTTCTCTAATTAAAGTTTCTTTTTTAGTCTGATTGCTGTCTTGTCTGGCTAATACCAAGTGCAATAGCAATCCAGTCCTTTTGCTACTGTAAGTGAGGAATCGGCCAAAGGATCTGTTCTTTTTCCTTGTGATTGCCCGAATTACACTTTCGCTTCATGTTTAGAACTAACTCAGTTGTACTTGATAACGTGTGCCGCATTCTCTAGCAGAGTGGCCACATCAATTAGCAAGCTACATTTCCTTACACTACCTAGTGCTGCTGTTTTTCCTGGTCTCCATCTTCCCGGAGCCAAGAGGAAAGGTGCCGCTTGCTGTGGTCAGCCCAGCCTAGAGGCTGCACAAAGAGCACGAGCCCAAAGAATCGCAAAATGTTTGTGCACACTTGTGACTGCCATCTCATAAATTATATGTTTTATTTCTGCCCTCTGCTAATTAAATATTGGTAGTTTGTATTTCATCAGTGCAGCCTGGGTTCTTTTTCAGCACGGGGTTGGTTTAGGAGAGCTGCCTCTCTGCTGGACGCCCCTCCAAGCTCTTTCCAAGAGGCACAGAGGCCGTGTCCTGCATGTGACTCTTGTTGGTGTTACACAAAGTGAAGCCACGTTACTTCCTGGTAGGTGGAGTAGGAATTGAAGTCGTGTCTCCGTTGTAAAACGGGAGGGTTTCCAGCCTGGCTGAAAGCAGAACCCAGGATCTACCGATTCTAGCTGCATCAGAGAGATGAGAATGGCACTTCAGAGGATTTTGCGTGGAAGGAAGAAAGGTTGAGACTGCATTGAAGACATATAAGCTTAGGTTGCCTTAAGCCACCAATATAAGTCACCATGAATAATATACTCTCTATTCTAGAATTTTATTCAAGGATTTTTTGGGGGATATTTTTTCAGCTGGGGCTTGTTCCCTCTTCCACGTGAGAGTGCTGAGTCTGCAAGTGATGTCCTGCTACCTGCCTTCTCCAGTTATTTTTGCTGCAGTAAATATCAGGATTTAAAAAAAGCCTGTAGCTAGCAAAGGTGACTGGCAGTGGTCTCATAGCCTGAGCATGCAATCTGAGACAGGCTCCGGAGGGAGAGAAGAGCAAGGTCCTGCTGTACGTTAATTCGAATGATGAGAGTGCTGTGAAATGGAGGAATGCAGTAAGATATCAGCTACATGATGCTGATAACAGCAGTTAAATGCAGCTATTCTGTCAACATTATCCACTGGGTTGGGTTGCTTGCAAATCTAGGGCTCATCGGAGAGAGTTTGGGATGTAACACGGAGAACAGATGTGATCTTGGCTCAGCACTGACGGGCTCTGCTGGATGGTCCAGTACAGCCGGTGTGTAGTTGTTGGTACAGTTCCAAGTGTCCTCAAACTAGGAATGCTGAGGGAAAGCTGGCACTTGGTAAGGTGAAAATTGGCCAAACGGAGCGAGTCTGAGCTGCAATGCGAGTTGGAGGATGCAGCAGGAGGCCTGGATCGCCCTTGGCGCAGGCGAGTGTATAAGCTACTACTAATTAAACTTAGGAAAAGGGTAGCAGAAGTTCTGCGTGTTGCTGGGTTGTCTCATATTGTCTGACTTGAGCCAGGTCAGGTGCGTTCGGAAACAACAAGGGAGATGCGAGAAGGCTGAAATACTGGGAAGGATGGGAAGATGTAGGAATTACGGGGTGGGAGCGGAATCCCAGGCAACGAGGACATCCTTGCAGGAAGACAGATGATCCTCTCCTATATGACCTAATGCTGTGCACAGCTATTAGACTTCTGGCTTAAAACAGCCACTCTGGAAACGCAGAATCGTCTTGCGGGTTCGGGAAGGCCCCCGTCAGCAAGGTGCATCTCACTAGGCGCGAGGAAAAGGCAGTAACCTGTTTTTTAAAACTCTTAGGGAATTGGAGAAGAGTCAGGAATGAGAACTAATTAGATAACCTCTCCCTCTCTTCCTTACTGGGGATCTGATTACTTGCCAGAATTATCCCAGGAATTTGCCACCCTCGCTGGCAGGGCTGGAAAGTGCTGAGTTTGTGAACTAAATCGGGCAGCGTGGTGCCTGCTTACCTGCCGCGGCTGAGCGGGGCGCCGGGCGGGCGGGCAGAAACCCTCCTCCTGCCGGCGCCGCGCTGGGCGTTCCTGCATTTTTCCGGTAAGCAGATCTCCGGTTGTAGTCTTGGTGATGGACCCTGTGCCTCTGCTGCTCTAAAACGAAGAGTTGGTGAATATAGGAACAAGGATTTAAATAACTACAGCTCTCGGAAACGTGGAAGCTGGTTCTGCTTCTGGTGAATGTCTTCTGCGGATCTCGAGCTGTGTTTTCCAGAAGGTCTATGCTGCAAGTAACATCTCGCAGCAGGGAGAAATCTAGGTTGCAGTTGACTGGAAAAAGAACCTGGATCTTCCATTCTGGGAGGCAGTTTGCCAAGTTCAAGAGTCCCTTTTAAGTAAAGATGCTTGTAGGCTCTTCGTGCAGGTTATGCTTGTATTTGTGTTATTTGAACGAGGCAGTTAACTTGGTCACGAGCATATCGGAAGACATTTCAAATGTGAAATAAGCCCTAGAGAGAGTGAACGCACATCTGAGAGGCAGCGTTTTAAAAGCCAGCCAGCACAAACGTTGTGTGCACAGAGGTTCAGGGTGACAAGTGGCAAAATCCATTCTCAAAAGCTGTAGTGTTTGTAGTTCTTTGTGCTTGAGAGTTAAAGTATTGCAAGTTGCTGTGAAATCACATGCACATATCTGAAGGCACGAAGCATTTACAGGGTATCTTGGAGTTGGTGTTTCTCCTAGGTGAAAGCAGCATGGCCTGATAGAGCTGAGCTCAGATACTGCTTTCCACTGCTGAGGTTTATGGTTACCTGTTAGACCGCGGTAAAACTTTAGTGGTCCTGCTGTAAAGACCAATCTGATGCGGAAACTCCCACAATGACTTACCCGAACCAAGGCAGGAAGCCAACGTGCCAGTGTCAGCCCCACGGGGCAGCAGCCGGCTGCACTGCTTTCACTCGCAGATTGCTCCTACCCAGGTAGTGGCAAGTAGCAGATAACTCAAGAAGCCACAAAAATGAATCAGTGAATGGGAGAGCTGGGGAGAAGGAGGAACTAATTTGGGGTTATGAGCGGGGCTAAAGCCTCAAGAGCAGTGCGGAGTGGTTGGAGGGAGGTGGCAGGCTGGCAGTGCCGGGTCGGGGGAGCGATTCCTGACTGGTAGCAGCGGAGGGGTCAGCGACTGCCCAGAGCTGGCCCGCGTGCCGGGGTGCCCCAGGTGGTCAGGGCAGCCCCTGCCCAGCTGCTGCCTCCTCTGCGGGCTGCACACGCGCGTGCGCTCCAGCCAGCGCCTGCGCCGACACTGAAACTGCTGAGCGGACTCTGAACTGCCTTTGGGAAGGGTTTGCAAGGGCCGCGCTAATTTTCTTATCTCCGTGCTGTGCTGTAGCAGGATCCTCGCTTTGGTTTTTAACTGAGATTTCCTGTCTGAGAAATGCCTAGCAAACAAAACTTGTGTTAAATTCAGACGGAGGACATAAATCGAGTGCACTTTTGCACAGGAATTTCGGTGTGATTAATTCTTCTAAATTCACTGAGAGCAGGCAGTCGTCTGCAGCGTCAAGTTCAGTGCCTTTAATCCCATTTACTGCAAGCTAGTTGTACCGTGTTGCAATCGGCAGCTTTTCTCCCCAGCTGTGCTGCTGTGCCCCCTTTACTCTTTTATGTGAACCTAATAGATTGCGTATATACTTGATGCCTTGATTTATTGGAAAACAGGCTTTTTGCAAACTTTATGCTTTACAGGAATTCCTGGCACCAGATGAAAGCTGCTAAATTACATTGTCATGTTCAGTGACAAGTTTAATAAATAAAACATTGTTTCGGTTAGCCAGAAGACAAAGACTGGTGCAGAAACCATTAGTGATGGTGGTGGAAGGTCAGGACCAGCGATTTGCTCCCAAAAAGGTTCGTTACTGGCCCGCTTGTGCCAACATGACAAACTCTGCCTTGTTTCCTCCCTTCTGTTCGAGTTGATGTCTCTGTTCATCGTAGTGGGGTCTTTATAAACTCTGCTGATAAGTGTTAAACTGGTTCTGAAGGATGATGTGAGTATTGGCCTCTTGAAACCTCCTCTTGGTGGGAAGGAGATGCCACAGCACGTTGTATTTTTTTCTTCCCCTCCGCTGTGTGCTGTACATCTTTGTAGATGTCCTAGCAGGAGCTGAAATGCATCTGGTGGAAAAATAGCTGCAGAACATGCTTCAGGAAGGCCTTTATACGTATTCTTACGTATAAAGCAAAATAATGCATTCTAGTCAAATGTTTTGCTTCAGACTACCAAGGGCTTTAGTTTCTGTGGGTGTCCCACCTGCTGTCACAGCAGGTGACACGTGAAGCTTGCCTCATTTAGAGGTAGGGAGGAGGAAGAAAAGTCAAAGCTTAATTTGTGATTCAAAACACCTGAAAGCATCTGCCTGGAGCCAAAGAAACAGGGAAGGCTGCCACATCGCTGCTCTCAAACTTGGAGGTGCTGCTTCATTTTGACCGGGGACGTCCTCTGTGCTGGTCGTTCCTGGGTGACCGTCGCCGCTTGGAAGGAGCCTGCAGTAGTGGTCAGTATTGGGTGGCACTGTGTGCTGGTGGCAGGGGAGCCGCCTTCCCGTAGGTGACTTCAGTCCCCGCGTGGGCCCTGGGTGCAGGTGTCAGGTGCTTGTCCCTCTCGGAAGAGGCCGTCCCTCAGGAGCAAATCCCTGCTCCAGGGGGTTGATTGCTGGGCACCGTAGAACAACAGCCTGGTGGTAGTGCTGGGGTTTGGGGTAGATCCCTAGTGTGTTGGCAAGCATGACAGTGTCCTCCTGGTGTGCGCTACCCCTGCACCTAACTGCACAAAACAGGCTGCCACTTAGTGCTAGCGGTGCTTTCTGCACAGCACACCTGGATGTTTTAAAAGGAGGAACAGAGTTAGAATAAGGCAGTAGCCTCCGCTGGAGAGCATCTTTGAGAAGACTTTGGCCGTAGTGCGACACACGCAGCTGCTGCGTGGGTAAATGCAGGTTGCAGAGGGGTGTGGGAGACAGGGCAGGAGCTTCTGCTTGCACCTGACCATCCAGGGCTTATTTAATGGAATATTTAATCGTTCTCCTTTGTGTACGTTAGAATGAGCATTCTGGGCAGTCTGTGTTATTTGCTCTTTAGCACAGCAGTAACGTACTGGAGAGTTGAACTGCACGGTACCCACCATACTGCATGCTCACAGATACCTCAAGTGCTAATAGAAACCACAAAAAAAAAACCCCACCAAACCTAGAAGAAGTTGAAGAGAAGAAAAACTTGGTCTGCATCAGCATCATATCTTTATCAGCCTAGAGAGTGAGGTCAAAGATGATTAAAAAATATCTCCAGTCTGGAATATGCTGAGGGTGTTGCTGCATTACTCTTACCTGCTTCTTAAAGCAAGGCTCTTGCTCTCCCTCCCAGCAGAGCACCTGGCTGCCAGGAAGCTCTGATTTCTAAGTGTTACAAAGGGATTTAATAGGCTTGGCCAGAAGAGGGTTAGCAGGCAAGGGAGAACTTTTGTAGGAAAGCAGCTTCCTGGGCTATGCACCATTTCTGGAGCAGGCACGGCTGCGGGACGTGTCTGGGACACGTGCACGGTGCAGCGTTATTCCCGGCGCCATCCAGGATCCCAGGAAGCAAACACGGCAGCTGCTTGTGTCAGGAGCTGAGCTGGGAATCCTGCAGCTTGGAAAGCTGCCGTAGCTTTCAGTACGTGAAGATTAAATCCTTCAGTCCTTCACCATGCTGCTGGCAGTGATCTGAAAAGGGAATCCTCTGCCTGTGGGGCTTTGGCCATTGGAATTAGTGGTAGTACCAGAGAGCTGAGCAGTTGGGCATCCCTTTGGGGAGAGATGGCAGGAAATCATGATTTACAATCCCAGAGAAGGTCTGCAATGTAAAAGAAGACCAAGCAGCCTGCTGTCCTCGCTGAGAAGTGCCTGGTTCAGTGCGTTGGCTTACTGGGAATCTGCTTATAAACTAACAGGGATCCAAAGGGCGAGCGACGTGACTCCAGCAGATGCTCAGCCCCTGGGATCTCCTCAGGCTGCCTCTGTTCTGGTGCTGCTCTGTGAAAGCCCAGCTGCCCGTTTGCAGTTGGGGTCTGGGTAATCTTTCAGGTACCGCTCCGAGCGGAGCCTGTGCACCCGGCAGCTGGGGGCCGCCGCTTCCCTGGCCAGCTCCCTGCTTTGGAGTCAGAGCAGGACATCCAGCTGCCACGAGCAGCACCAGCCCCGCGTAGGCAGTACTACACATACCCCTGCTTTATATTATTCACTTTTATCACAATTACTAAGATAATTTTAGCTCCCCCAACTGCTCAGTTATGTTTATGCCCAGCAATAGCGTAGGCAAGTGAGCAGGAGCTAGCAGAGCTGTGAAGACCACGCGAGTAAATCCGCAGATTTGGGTGATAAATAGAAGCAAATTCTTCCTGGCCATAAGGCTTGGAGCTTTCAGTGTGATCTTTTACCCAGCCTCTGAGGTGACTAGAGCTGCAGTTTGGTAAAGAGACGCTTTTAACTCTCATGTGGGTGAAATCTCTGCTCGTTAGCAATGAGTAGTTGTCAAAACCCATGCAGGAAGCCTGGGAGCTGCTGGAATTGTCTGCAGCGAAACGCTCATGTGGAGCCATTTAGAAGGAGAACTGCAAAATACCTGCAGGTTGTAACTCTTCTTTTAAGGACACTAGAAACCTGATGAAACCTGGAGCATGTGGAAAGGTTTGCATAATTTGGACTTTCCTTTGAGGAAAACTGTTAGTAGATAATGATTTACAGTCTGGAGACTATCTGTGGTATAAAAGGAAGAAAAAGTTGCTCGCGTACAGCGTTATGGCTGGGAGAGAGCTAAAAAATACAGACCTTGGCCTGTGTCACTCTAGCCAGTTCTGGGGAACAGGGTTTAGGAGTGGGCGGAAAAGGGAGTTCGGAGAGTTCTTGCACTTTGCATCCTTCTTAGTGGTGACTGCAGCAAGCACAAGGTCAGTTGCAGGCTCTTGGCCTGACACGTGGTGCCAGCAGCGCATCTTTGGTTCTAAATACCGATAACGGGCTCGTGTTCATTTATTTTGTCCTCAAAACAAACTGGTAGGGCCTACCTGGGTTTACCTGTTTGGCCGTTATGCGTTGAACATCATTCATGCCAACTCGTCCTTTGAACCATATTGCTATATTGCGCTAAAAATCTATACAACTGTGCATCTGTGTAACTGTGCACCTTTCTAGCTGATTATTTTTAGTACATATTTTTGTTTGAACCTCAACATAGAATTCTGGGATGGCCAGAGATGTGGGGCACCTTTGGCCGAGGCAAAGGGGCTGAAGAGGGAAGCAGCTGCCGGCAGAGCTGAACAAACCAGCCCGCTCTTGGAGGCACCTTCCTAGCGTTTTCCATGTGCTCGTGCCGTGGGAACGCTGCAGCAGACTCCTAACTGGAGATTTGAGATAGCAACACATCTTTAGAGGAAACTTATTTCAGAGCTTCCATCTAAGCTAATATTTTTTAGTCTTTGCGATTCCTGTGATCTCTAAATCCTTCAGTGACTAGAGCTGTAATAAAACGTCATTCTGGTTTCTGTGTGAGCTCTCTGCTCCTCCGCAGGAGTTCGGTGCTGCGTGGAGCAGGGGAGTGGACACTGAGCTCGCTGGGACCCGCGGGCTCCGGGCTGGCAGCCGGCTGTCCAAGCGCCCTCTCGGGAGCAGGGCTTTATGGATAAGCCTCTCCGTGTCCACAGGTCCAAATTCAGTACAAGGGTTTCATCTGAAGATCCGTTAAGGATCCCTGGTCTTCGGTGTCTAATTTACCCTGGAAATTAAGCAAAGAGAAACCCTGAATTGTCCTGTAGAGATAGATCAGCTCTGTACTTGTTGCGGCCTTAGAACAAGTGGTTTGGGTCAGTTGTAGCAAGGTGAAACATAACCGGAGTTTGCAAAAGTTTTTAAGGACTTTTGGGGATTTTTAAGTGCTCACGATGGCTCTAACACGCCAATTCTATCAAAATTGGTGAAAAGCCCTCCCTGGGAGTGTGCTTTCCTGTGCGTTCAGGCTCCTCTGGCGTGGCTCCGAGCCCTGTGTGTGTGCCCACCTGCAGATACCGCGGGCGCTGCGGCTGGGGCAGCAGCCCGGGGCCGGGCGCTGCTGTTGGTGGTGGCTGTTTTTTACTTCCCCCTCCTGCAGCGAGAGCACGCAGGGCGCAGCGTGGCGGCACCGTCACCCCTTCAGCTCTCCCACATGTCCCCTCCGCTGCTAGTCAAGGACAGGCCTCCTCAGCCGCTGCGTTTGTGCCTGCATATTTTGCCCTATTGTGTGCTGCAGTTTACGCTAGCTGTATCTAAACTCCTTAAAGAATTTTTGCCTTAAACAGTTCTGTTCATATATCTTTTTCTACAGCTGCTATTTAATATATTGCTATGAAACTGATTAGCCCAAGTGATTAATGCGTAAAATGCAGCAAGTGAAGCTGTTGCTTCATAGAGTATAGCTTGTTTCAAAATTGCCGTGCTATAAAGCACTTATTTTGGGGTTACTACTTTAATGATGATTTTTAGCATCATCTCTCCCTGTTTTTTCCTGGCTCCTGTTAAACAATTCCAGCTGGCAGAGGAGGACCAAGCACTCCGCTGGCGTTCCCACGATCTCCGAGCAAGGAACGTGACCCTGCGGCCGCGTGCCAGCTTCCCTCCCTTGACGTAAGGGATGGTGGGAGGTAAAGACAATCCTGGGGAGGAAGGATCCCTGCCGGAGCTCGGCTGCCGGAGCTGGGCTGTCACGGGCCACCAGGGAGTATCAAAGAGTGAAAAGTGAACGTTCTCCCTTAGCCACATTTGAAGGAAAGAAAACATTGCTGTCTCTGGCTGTGGGGGTTTGTCCTTTGTCTTGCACCTAGGCCCTTTGGTCAGCGCTTTAGTAGCACCTTTATTAGCACAGACTGATATTTCATCTCCAGCTGATGTTAAATACTGGCCTCTTCTAAGAGGGCTGTTTCCTGCATGCTCCAGTAAGAGGAAGTGATTTGCCAGAGCCCTTGTGAACGGTGTTTGGAGGAGCTTCCTCCTTTTGCCCTTGCCAGCTGTGCAGGATCAGCCAACGGGGAAAAAAAACAGCTTGCTGAGAGCTGTTGAGGCTCTTGGTATTAGTGCTCGGTGGAGCCCTAGTGTGAGTGTAGCTGCGTGGCCCTCCTTGCTGCTGCTGTGCCACATCCGCAGCATCTCTGTGGGTGATGAAAGGCAGCCGTGCAGGCCTTCATTGAAACCTGCCTTTTACAGGGCATCCCTTTACTGGGGAGGGTAAAAAAAAAAAAAAAAAAGGTATTACTGCACATGTCATAAAAATGAGGGGGCACTTGGACTTCGTGAGCCCTTAGCCACCCCTTGTGTACATGAGCATGGTGAGGAGAAGCAGCCTTCGCTCCAGACTCGGGGTAGCCGAGCAGCTCCTTGCTGTGTTACTCGGGTATTTGAAGGATATGGGGGTTTTACCTGCTTTCTTCTCCAGTAGATCTTCCTTTGCTCGCAGCAGTGGTGACTTCAGCAGTGGCACCTTCAGCTTTGCAGCGTCTGTACCCCTGGCTTTCAGCAGGGGACAAGGCTGGCGCCCTCAGCCCACTGGGGCAGCACCGGAGCCCGTTCCTACTCCCTTTCTGGGGTATTTTTGAGGAGACGTCCCGCAGCATAAAGTAGATGAGAAATAAATCATCTCCTTGAGCCAGGCGGTCTTAACTTGCTGGCTATAAAATTCTCCAGGCAGGGCCTTTGCTAATGCATGTCTGCCAAGCAGAGAACTGCTCCCATCTTCTCTGCTGGGGTAGAGCCTCATGGCAGGAAGCACCTCCTGCTTCTCCTTGGCACAGGGCGTGCGTGTGGGTGCTGCTTTATTTAATGAGTTAATCACGTAACTGCTCGTGTTTAAGGAGGGCTTCAAAATTCAACTTTTAGAGCCATTAAAGCCAAGCACGTTGTGTATGGGTGGCTAGAAATAGTGAAACACAAAAAGCGGAAGGTGGGAAGCAGCAAAAACAAACTCGCTGCTGCTGCTGGCTGGTGACCTGTTCAGCAAAGGGGCTGCTGCAGATTTTGACTACTGTTGGGATGGCAGGAGAGTATCCGTTTATATCTGTTGGCAAGAAGTAGAGCTAAAGGGTATGTCAGGAACATGGTTGAGCTGATCGAGTGTCTGCGGGAATGGCTGTGCACATACTCGCTCTCTCTGAAATTAAGTTTAATTTTTTTTTTTCTTGTCAAACTTGCGTATAAGACCAGCTGCAACGAGCCCTATTGGAGTGTGTTGCTGTGACTTCTCCAAATAATTGAAGCCCTGATTTCTCACAGGCGATAGTTTGTGTTCTGTAGGGAGAAGGAAATAATGCTGCAAATCGTGTGTGTGTTTCAATCTGGTATTTGATAAAGCTGAAGGAGGGGAGAGCTCCGTGTCGAAACAGAATTTGTCTTGGCTACTGGTTATCTCAAACAGAGCTGCACAGTACAAATAAGGAAGTACTAAAATTGCTTGAGAAGGAGAAACTTTCGGTTCCCCCGTGCAGATCACAGTTAAGATAGTGTGGAAAAAAACAGTGTGCGAAGCAGTAAGTGGGTTGATGCAGAACAAGGCAGCGGTGAAGTCGGGTTTTGGTGGGTGAGGCTCTCTGCTGCCCTCCCCGCAGAGGGAGGCAGTGCAGGGCCAAGCATGCAAATACCTTGTCTTCCAGAGAAGACAAATACCTAGAGATTCTATAAAGGAATTGCCTCCCTTCCAACTGCACCCTTGGCTTGGGGCTTTGCAAATGAAACCTGTTTGCTGTATGTGACAGGATTGTTGTTGGAAAGTTTTTGAGGAAAGGACCCACCTCGTTGGAATCGGGGGGTTAAACTGGAGGCACTTCAAGCTATGCCCTCAACTCCCCGCTCCAGGAAGCCTCTTGCAGTATGAGGACGGTGGCTCTGAGCTTCCCTGCCATATCTCAGTGTTAACGCAGTGGCTGGTGTTAGCAGCTCTACCTCCCTCCTGCTGGAGGGATTGCTGAGCACAATCCCGTGCGGCTCGGGCCGTTTTACCTCTGTGCATGCTGAACGTGCTGTGCTCTGCTGTATGTGTTGTGACCAAAGGCTGTTGCTGTTTCCGCAGAGTGACCAGCAGCTGGATTGTGCCTTGGATTTGATGAGGCGGCTGCCTCCCCAGCAGATCGAGAAGAACCTCAGCGACCTCATCGACTTGGTGAGTACTGCACGCTTTAACCAGTGCCAGCGTGGCCAAGGCCTGTTCTGGAAGTAGGTGGCCTGAAGCCCCTCTGGGCTGCGATGATCTGGGGTTCTCTGCTGGATTTTTGGCCAGGCAAGGAATAGAGCAACTGCCAAAACATGGTTGGAATCTAGGTATTTATTTTGGGCCCGCCAGCAAATGCTAGAGTTTATGCACGCACATGCTTTGGATGAATGGTCATTAGCACCTTTTTAATGAACAGATCACCAGTTTGCAGGCTAGTTAGCAAAACTAATTTGAAGTGGTCAACCCAAGTTTGGTGCACACCTGTATGTGGGTATTGTCTGCTGCTAATCTGGCCGCCAGCCTCTGCGTCTGCTCTACTGTCAGTACTGTGGACGTGCTGTGACATGTGCTCCAAAGATGTGACCGTGAGATAATATTTCAGAATTTATGGAGATTTTGGAGAATACCCAAGTTCCTTTATTTATAAATTATGTCCTGTGTGGTGTTAGGCTGCCCAATGAATACCCGAAGGGGGAAAAAACCAACAACAACAACAGACCTGTTTGACCTCGTGCTAACAGCTGGGTTCTCCCTGTGCACAAAAACACTTTCCTTTCGTTAATCGTTAGTGATGGAAACGAACCTGTAAGGACTGGCGCTGCAGGTGCCTGTCACCAGCTGTCCCTGCTCTGCAGCGCGGAGCTGGCCTTGGCCTGGCGGGCTGGTTCGTGTAACCTCTCCCTGCAAACAGCGTGTGACAGTTGTGTTTGGAGCAGCTTTGGGCATTGTAGGAGTGGGGATATAAGGTACTTGGTGGGCAGCAGGGGAAAATTCCCTGTCCAGTGCAGGTATGTTGCTTGAGTTTACCCCTTCCTAACCCAAGCCTCCTGCTCTTGCAGATGGGTAACACAGAGAGGTCTTTGACCTTTCAATGAAGCCTTTCTTCTTACCTTTCCATGCATTCCTCTGCTGTCTGAACTTAGTCTTGCATGTGAGGCTGACAAACCCAGTGTCTTTTCTGATGAGGGACCTTAAAAATCTGGCAGTTCTGCACATCGCAGCTGCTTGAACTAGTACCTCTCCCTTGTTTGGGGCCTGAGCCCTCCGTGGTGTCTGTGTGCAGATGATGTGCTGCTTTCATTTCACTCACAGCCTTCACGTGAAATCTTAGCTGACCCTTCTGTCTGGAGGTCGGCTCCTTGGCTGCTGAACAGATCCATATGTAAAGGATTCCCTTGAATGACCTTGGACCTTTTGTGTAAGAACATCACAGTGAATACTCTGTTCGGATTTATGGAGTCTCAGTGAAGTGTTTGTATCCTTAGAACTGCTCAGGAATTCACTGAGGATGCAGGGAAAGAAAAGCCTTTCCTACCTGACCAACAAAACCGATATTTGATCCGGTCTGTTCTCGGCATATTCCTTAAGCAGCTGGAGCCCTGCAGAAACAAAGCTTCAAGAGAAGCTTCAGACAAGCCACGCTGAACATGAGTGAACTGGTGAAATGCCTTGAGTCCCCTCTGCCAAAGACTCTTTCTTTTGATGGCTCAGGAAAATAAGAATCGCTTCTGTTGTGCGCTTCGTGGTGCTGTGATGGGAGCAGGCTCTCCGCGTGATACTGGAGCTGGTGTTAGTGAGCTTGGGAGCAATGGTCAAAAAGCTGTGGCTGATTAAAATGTATCAAATGCTACTCGAATACTGCTTTTAGCTCCATAAGTCAAGGTACAGGTAAGAAAACTGGGTCAGGGAAGAAATTATCCCGTGCAGGAAGGTAGTATTTCTTTTTCTTGAAAGCACTTAGTAATTGGCTACATCTGCGCTGTTCAGACTCTTGGCAACCTAAGCACCATTTTGTGGCTGTTGCTGGAGGAAGAACAACCTGAGATGACTGTGTGTGACAGTAGACTTATGGTGTAGCTTGGAGTGCACAAAGATGAAGATTTGAGCAAGACTAAGAACTATCTGGAACAATGTGTTGCTTGGGGAACTATGGCATGTATAATTGTATGGTTATACATATGGCTATGTGTAATTGGTATAAGGTTTTTTAATGACTCGGAAAATTGCTGGTTACCTCTAAGCACTGAAATTCCTTTTGGATGGTGCTCATTAGTGCTCTCCATGCTTCCCATGGGCAGCACATGCTCTGGCTTCTTGCTCCTGCTGGAAGCATAATGTGAATCAGAGCAGTTTGAACCGCACTCCTGAGTCTGTGGTTCTCACTCTGCTGCCTGCGCTCCCTGCTCTGGATGGAGATGGAATCATCCGTGGAATCCGGAATGGCTCCTTTGTCACGGAGACATCCATAGATCTCTCTTGCAGCTCACTCCGACCTTCACAAGACCTGCGCTCTTGTTAGGTGAAGCAATGTATACATTGATACTATAGCAGTTGATGCTATAGCAGTATAGCACCTGTAGTAGTTCCAAAAACATCATGAGTCAGGTTCGAGGAAATGAAGTTTTTGACTTTGGCAGTTTCATGCAGACTTTGGCAGTTGACGTTTTTATGCTCTTTACACTGTTATGAGACAATAACGTCCTTGATGCTCAGAAGGGTTGAAGTTGGAAGGGGTCTCTGGAGAGCGTCTAGTCCAGCCTCTCCTCCCCCTGCTCAAGGCAGCCTCCCGAGGGCTTTTGAGTAAAGCCAAGAAAGGGGACTGCAGCTTCTGGGGAACCTGTTCCAGTGCTCAGTCACCCTTTCAGTAAAGAGGTTTGAAGTGAGAGGTCAGCCTCCAAAGGCATGACGAGCACGAGCAGGCTCATTAAATTTGTGATAGAATCATAAAAGATGGCACCGTGACTTCCCTTGCTTTGTGTTTGCTTTCCTTGCCTCATTGCACTTCCATGCCGGAGCAGAGTGACCCGGCGGCCCGGCTCGTTTCTCCTGGGTGAAGTGGAGCTTGTTTCCTGCGCTGCTCCCTGCTCCCCTTTCAGAGGCTCACTGTGATGGCTGGAAACTGCCATCCAGGCAGTGTGTGCAACTGCTGTTCCCATGCTGGGCTTCAAGATGCAGTGAGCAGAGATGACGATGACGACTTTGCTGACTTTGTATGCAAAAAGGCTTCCAAAACCAATAGGGTGAGAACTTGCCATCACCCTTCAAGGCTTGTCATCCTGCCGGGAAGGATAACGGTGCTGAAGTTCCCTCGCTCAGGCTCTTGGTGCTCTATCAAGCTGGGTCCTGTGGCTTCTTGATAAAAACATGTGGATGCCAGTGTGTATGTGGAGCAGGACTGTGCGGTACTGCCCCCAAGTGCTGAGCTCACGAGGGAAAGGGTCCAAGCTTGAACATGGAGTGAATACTGGGGGGGGAGAGGAGAATTTTTGGGTCAGTGGCCCTCATCAGACCAGACACTTTTCATTCATTAGCAAAACAGTTTGTGGTTTGCCCTTTTGCCACGTCTCTTGTTGCTTTTTCAGGCTGCAGAGTCTTCAATTAGAGTTCATTAGGGACCTTGTCAATCATGGGACTCCCCAAGTCCTGCCTGAAAGAAATGGTGCGTGGTGCTAGTAATGTGCCTTGGCACGAAACGCTCTGTTTGGAGTTTAATTAGTCCTTAGTTGCACAAAGGTGATTTGGAGGCTGTCGGGGGTATCCTGGGATTTCACAATCATACTACAAAGAGCAGAGTTTCGGGTAGGCATGTGCTTTTTAAGAATAACTGATGGAAACCAGAAGCATTTCCTTTTTAGCGCTTCTGAAGGCCTTGGCACGCGTAGCTGTAGGATGGGCCCGCAGAGTAATGCAGTTCCCGTAAGAGGAATGTTCCCAAAGGGTCTGCACTGGTTTTTAGACCGTGTTGGCATCAAGAGAGCCCAGGCTGCAGCACTTGTCATGGTGATAGAGGATTTAATTGAGTGTTGCGTGGGACCAGCTCACTTTCCTGCTTTGCCTTGTCCAGAAGACAGAGGCTGTCGACATCCCGTACGTACCATAGAAGTAATGAAGCTTGTCTGGAAGGAGAATGCTGAGGGCATTTTCTGGATGGAAATACTGCTGGTATCACTGAAGAGCAGGATTCAATTTTAGCTCAGGTGGTGTCAAGTCAGGAAGCTGCTGGAGGTCATTCCGAGTGACCAAATGGCTTGTATCAAAAGATGGGGACAATCCCAAAGACTTGTCCTGCTTCCTCTTGGAACAGCATGATGACAAGCAGGATTTCTGAGGATTTCATTGCAATAAGCAGCCCTTGTCTCTTGCAAGGGTTTTCAAATCCATTTGCTTTGGCCAGAAGACAGCGGAGTTCTGTTCAACTGGAAATAAGTGCCACCTTCCACACAAATATCCCATAAATGTGGAGTTCTTCCAGTCTATCCTGAACTTAAGCCTAGAGCTTTTCTGTGAGACACATCATGGCATGTGATTCTGAGATGAGTCCCGGGGATTCCGGAGTCCCGGGATGGTGGAGGGCCTGGCCTTGCTGTAGGCTCTGCCCGTGTGGCCCTTCCCGGCTCCTGGGAAAGGCAGCGTGGGCTGGGCAGGCTAGTGGAGCCCTGTTAGCTGTGCCCTTTCCAAGAGAAGCCCCGAGAAGCTGGAGCCTTTCAGGCAGTGTTGGAGGATCCCCAAGGACAGCCTGGAGAACAAGGCGGAGGAGGGAATGTGGCGTGGCACCTCCGGGTTTCCAAGAGCATCAGCTTCATGGATGTGTCTCGGAGCGAGGTAGGGAACGGAAGGGGAAGGTGGGCATTGGGATTTGCTGTGCTTGTGGACCAGCTGCAGCAAATAAGGGATCTCTGATGAGACTTTCTTGCTGACTTTGACCTGGCTGTGGAAGTTAATGTGCTCGCA